GAAATAGCTCCACGCTGCCTTTTGCCTAAATTAGTCATGGGCCAGCTGGGCAGGAGGGGGGTGCGGGTGGATGTCACCCCGGGCTGCCTCTTCCCTCCTCCTGCTCTCTTTACTCTCCTCTTCCCCCTCGAGCCAGACCGCCCGCCCCTTGCGGCAGATAAGGCGCCACACATCCTCCCTTCCTAAAAATATCCCGCCAGCGTGTCCTCTGGCCTGACCCTGACATTAACACTGGTTCTGGTGGCCCTGAGGAAAGGGACCCCCCCTCCCCACTCCATCACCAGCTGCAGCAGCAGTGCCAGCACCCCACCCAAACCCCCCTGCGCTGGGAACGTTCCTGTGCCAAGGAGGCTGTGCCAAGATGGGCTTAAGGTCCAGAATGGTGAGTGCCAAGGTAGCCGTGCTGGTGACCCAGGCCGGTCAGAAACGAGCAGCGTGATCCCAGGGCCGCTCATCCAGGGATCATGTGAGGCCTGGAGGAGTCACTGGGCTTGGCCCCGGGGATGGGGTGGGTGGAGCATGACCTTGCCGCTCGCGCTCTGTACCCCTGGAAGCTGAGGGACACCCTCGCCCAAGTTCAAGTTCAAGCAGCTGCTTACGATGGCGCTGGGGTGTCCATCTGGACTGAAGGTTCTAGCCCCCTACCTGTCCTGTGTGACCTGCGTGGGCCATGTCATCTCTCTGTGCTCAGTGTCCCCCCAGTAACATGAGGACTATACTGGTGGGGCACAGGCTGTTATTATTATTATTATTATTATGGTGATTTATGTTAAGTAGAGATTTGGTCTTAGTCCCAGCACACCGTTCCTGAGACCCTTGTAATTTGCTAAGTGAGAAGAGGGCGTATCTCGTTATACTATTTGGACTTTCCTCTTCGATTCCTGAAACAGCTCCAGAACGATACAGATGAGAGAGGCGTCTTTTGCTATTTGTCACAAGTGCTTGCAACCGCCCCTGAGTTTCTGCTGAGGGTGTGGCCTGGGAAAGGCCCTGGAACCGCAGGATGGGGGCTGGTGGCCAGGGGAGCCCACGTGTGGTAGAGGATGGAGTTTTCAGGGGAGAGGGGCTGGGGACCGAGTCAGTCACCAAAGGCCAGCAATCTAATCAATCACACCTGTGTGACGAAGCTGCCACAAAAACCCTAAATGAAGGGGCTCAGAGCGCTTCCGGGCGGGAGCACATCCACCTGCCGGGAGGTCGTGCCAGGAGAGCCAGCCCCTTCCCCAAACCTTGCTCTATGCGTCTCTTCCATCCGGCTGTTCCTGAGCTCTAGTCCTTATAAACGCTGCTAACCTAGCAAGTCAACGGTTTTCCTGAGTTCTGTGAACTGCTATAGCTACTTGTCCAACCTGAAGTGGGGGGATGTATGGGAACCCAGATTTGTAGCCAAGCGGGACAGAAGTGTGGGTAACCTGGGCACCCGCTACTCTGACCGGCTTCTGTGGGGTCTGCACTAACTCCGGGCAGTGTCAGAATTCAGTTAAATTACAGGACATTCAACTGGTGTCTGCCCAGAACTGGAGAATCGCTCGGCGTGGGAAAAAGCCCCCACATTTGGTGTCAGGGTTGGTGTTGAGTGTAGAGAGGAAATAGTTTTCCCATTCAGTACAATAATAGTACATTTATAATAATGCTATAGTAATTAATAGAATGTATAGTTATACATTTATATATAATAATTAATATATTATTATTACTATTAACTGCTGACTGGGTTTGATTCCAGAAAGGATTAGGGGCAGGAAATGAACTTGAATCACAGAGAAGCAGAGTCAGAAGGGGCATTGGGAAAAGTCATCAGGCCCCCCCTCTACAGATGACAGATGGAAGCCACACAGGACAGATGATGGCTCAAGGTCAGGCAAGGTCACCCAAGGCACGGAGCTGTTGGCATTTTCTCCTCTGAAACTCACCTAAGACCGGCAAGGGCCACAGCCCTTGGAAATAGGCAAAACTAGAAACTTCTGCCCTGGCCGGTTTGGCTCAGTGGATGGAGCGTTTGCCTGCAGACTGAAGGGTCCCAGGGTCTATTCCGGTCCGGGGCATGTGCCTTGGTTGCGGGCACATCCCCAGTGGGGGGTGTGCGGGAGGCAGCTGATTGATGTTTCTCTCTCGTCGATGTTTCTAGCTCTCTATCCGTCTCCCTTCCTCTCTATAAAAAAAATCAATAAAATATATTAAAAACAAAACAAAACAAAAACTAGAAACTTCTGTTCTCAGTTTAGTTTATTTCACATAAAAATCCCCCCAAGTTTATGGAAATGATGTTCTCACATCACAACAGTAATCATAATGAATTGTTTTTTGTCTTTAAAAACCGCAAGACTCGCCATGGGAAGGATGGGCGTGTGCACTTTGACTTTGGGGCAGGGCTTAGGGTGCCCCCACGTGTCACAAGAGGAAAGTCCATTCATTGTTCCTTTATGACAAGGGATCCAGGTCCTTTGCATTTGGGCTCAAACTGCCCCACAGATACAAATCTTCCCCAAAGCCAGTTTCAGAGGGTGGGGGCAGCAGCCTGGCTGGACACGGTGGCCCTGTTTGCACAGAACGTCTCACACCTGTGACAGGCGGCTGGCCTGGCGAGGGCCTCCTCAGGCGTCTCTCTTTGTTCTGGAAGGACTGCTGAGGCTGAGTTGGGGTCCTTGGTTCTGCTTGCCCAATGGTTGTCTGTGGTGCTGGCGGTCCGGAGGGGCGGTGGCAGACCACGGTGAACCTGTTGGAATTTTGCGTGTGGCCAGGATCTTTAGCCTGCAGGGTCCTTGAGGGCTGAACGGGGTCAGCACCTTTGTCCGTCTATGGCCGCTGCAGGCATTTACTAATCCTGGGATTGGGTAGAATGAATTGCTCCCTATCCCTGGCTCCTTTTTTATTTTTTTCCCCTTGCAGCAAGGCACCGGCCTTCCAGGAGTTACTGCATTCACTGGGGTGGGAGTTTGGGCCTTTCAGGACCATGTCGGTCTCAGATGAGCAAGGCTGGCCGCCTGAACCTGGAGTTTAGGGCCTGGGATAGAGGGGCCTTGTGGGGGGCAGTCTAGGGAGGCCCATCCACCAACCTCTGCTGCCTCAGGCTCCAGGTGAGGCACCTGGGCCCAGAACAGGGTCCCTGTCCTTTATTTGACATTTGGGAAAGAGCAGAACTACATGTTACAAAACCCCACCGGGCACCCAAATGTCCTCACCTCTTGAGGGCAATGCTGGGTCCCAGAATATGCAGGCCCAAAGCAGCTCAGAAACCTGGCATTTTTCAAGGCAGGAGCGGCTGGCGTTGGGACAATTCCTTGATGCGGCAAAGCTTTGGGCATCTCTTTTCTTATTGCTCAATGCCACTAGCTCCCTCTTGTTGGGAGAGCTCAAAACGCAGCCCCTGCCATGCCAGGTCGAGAAGCATCAGACATTTCTACTGAGGCCAAGAACCTCATACTCAGAAATTGGGGTGGCTCAACTGAACCTCGACGACTAACAGCTACGAAGCCAGCTTCAGAGCCAGAAAGAGGGGCCCGGGGTGTGTGCCTGCTCAATGTTTGCTCAGATTCATAGAAATAGAGACTCTTAGGGTTGGAGGGGGCACCGAGGACCATTTTCTGCAAGCATTGTCCAGCCTTTTCTTAAACACCCCCCCGAGACGGGGAACTCACTACCTCTAGAGGCCACCTGACTGGTGTTTGGACCATAATAGAAAAGTCTGTCTCCTTTGCATGCAGGTGGCTGTAGCATCCAGTCCACTGGAACTTATATCCCCAGGTGACCTTTGAAACAAACGAACACCCATACCCTGTTTCTTCCTTTTTCTTGGTCTGTGTTTCCAGGATGAGCCTATTTCAGAGTCGGCTTCTCAGCCTCTGCTCTTGGTGGAGATCCAAGGGGCACATCCCTAGTCTGTGTCGGGGGACTGGAGAAGTGGGGGCAGCTCATTCCCTTTGGAGGTATTGATCGATGGCCCTGTGGCATAGCATCTGCATTAAAGGGACTTGAGAAAGTTCTAGATCGAGAGGGTGGAGGACAAGGATGACCAGTGGCAGCTCTCACTTGTGCTGTGGGCTCCGATGCTCCCACGTTGATGTCATCAGAGAAAAAGGGGGGCATTCAAATGAAAAGCCATGAGGTTGAAGGTGCCCAGGGCACAGCTCTGTTGGGGGGCTGAGCTTCCTGGCCAGACGCCCAGGATTGTGGGAGCCATTCTGGGAGGAAAGGCACAAGA